GAGAGAGCCGACCAGGTTGGCCCCGGCTACGGAGGCCGCGTTTGGAGCGTGGCGGCGGCAGTAGCAGCGGAGGGCGAGGCGGCAGGAGAAGGTAGGAGGCAAGCTCATCGGCGGCGGCTCCAGGTGAGCGTGGCGGCGGCAGTAGCAGAGGAGGGCGAGGCGGCAGGAGAAGGTAGGAGGCAAGCTCATCGGCGGCGGCTCCTGGTGCCGGCGGCGGCAACGGGGGGTGAAGATGGTGGACGTGCTTGGTGTCCTGCGACAGTACAACGTCCAGAAGAAGGAGATTGTGGTGAAGGGAGATGAAGTAATCTTCGGGGAGTTCTCCTGGCCGAAGAATGTCAAGACCAACTATGTAGTGTGGGGAACTGGAAAGGAAGGTCAACCCAGAGAGTATTATACATTGGATTCCATCTTATTTCTCCTTAACAATGTGCACCTCTCACATGCTGTTTATGTCCGACGTGCAGCTACTGAAAACATTCCTGTGGTTCGAAGACCTGACCGAAAAGATTTACTTGGATATCTCAATGGTGAAGCATCAACATCAGCAAGTATTGATAGGAGTGCCCCCCTGGAAATAGGCCTGCAGCAATCTACTCAAGTAAAGCGAGCTGCTGATGAAGTTTTAGCAGAAGCAAAGAAACCACGTATTGAGGATGAAGAGTGTGTGCGTCTTGATAAAGAGAGATTGGCTGCTCGTTTGGAGGGTCACAAAGAAGGAGTTGTACAAACAGAACAGATTAGGTCTTTGTCAGAAGCTATGTCAGTGGAAAAAATTGCTGCAATCAAAGCCAAAATTATGGCTAAGAAAAGATCTACCATCAAAACTGATCTAGATGATGATATAACTGCCCTTAAACAGAGGAGTTTTGTGGATGCTGAAGTAGATGTGACCCGAGATATTGTCAGCAGAGAGAGAGTGTGGAGGACAAGAACAACTATCTTACAAAGCACAGGAAAGAATTTTTCCAAGAATATTTTTGCCATTCTTCAGTCTGTGAAAGCCAGAGAAGAAGGACATGCCCCTGAACAGCAACCGGCTCCAAATGCAGCACCTGTGGATCCCACATTGCGTACCAAACAGCCTATCCCAGCTGCCTACAGCAGATATGACCAGGAAAGATTTAAAGGAAAAGAAGAAACGGAAGGCTTCAAAATTGATACTATGGGCACTTACCATGGTATGACACTGAAATCTGTGACGGAAGGTGCATCTGCCCGCAAGACTCAGACTCCTGCAGCACAGCCAGTACCAAGACCAGTTTCCCAAGCAAGGC